TACTTCTGGGTACTGGGGAGCCATCAGGGGTTCTTGAGCAGGGCAGTGCCCACAGGTACCCTCTTTCTCACCAGTCTTGCCCCATTCCTCTTCTTGGTCCCAGGGGCATGGTAGTGGTGGCCGATAAGACCTCAGAACTCTACCAGAAGACCTACTGGGCCAGCTACAACATACCGTATGTCCCCACCCCTGCCCCATACCTGCCTCACCCCTACTCAGTTTTCTGTGCTGCTCAGGGGTCCTTCCCTGCATGAGCTTTTCAACCCGCAGAGCAAAGAAGCCACCCTGGCCTTTCTTTGGCCAGGAAAGCCCTGCCAGTTTGGGGGCACAGTGGTGGGGCTTAGGTCTGCGGCCCACAGCGGGGGTGGGGGGGTGTGGGGTGGCCAGGCTCAGGTGCCGACCCCTGCCGAGGCTCCCTCACTGCGTCTGCTGTAACCGGCCGGCACAGCCATCACCTCTGGACACTCACTGTGCCCTGCCAAGTGAGAGATTCGGTCCTTACAACCACCGCACGGTAGCCATGGCCGCTGTTCCCATTTCACAGATGAGGAAACTGAGGCCTCCAGCGAATGCCTAACTTTCCCCAGGTGCGTTCCCCAGCTGTTCAGTGGTGAAGTCAGCATCTGAACCCATGTCTCTTGGCCCGCAGAGCCTAAGCTTGGTCACCCCGGCAAGCCACCCCCCGGCATAAACAGAAGACATGACTCGCTGTCCTGTCGTGGTTGTCAGTGATAATGTTCTGGTGTGACTGCCCCTCCGCCTCCCCGGCCGCAGCGAGCGTGGGCAGGGGTGGTGAGTGACTTTCCTTATCCCCCGCAGGTACTTTGAGAGTGTGTTCAATGCCAGTGGGCTGCAGGCCCTGGTGGCCCAGTACGGAGACTGGTTCTCCTATAATGGGAGCCCCCGGGCCCAAATCTTCCGGCGGAACCAGTCGCTGGTGCATGACCTGGACTCCATGCTCCGGCTCATGAGGTGCGTGGGGGAGAGTGAGCCCCGAGTCCTGTAGAGCTTTGCGTGCACGTCCCTGGCCCCTGTGTCAACCTTGCCATGAGCCCGGGGGGTCATAGGGTGGCGGCCAGCCATAACTACACGTTACAGGTGAGGGTGCTGACCCGCCGCTGAGTGCCCCCCCCCCGGTGCTGGGCACTGTGCTCGGTACCGGAGGAATGGCACAAAGCGGGGAGCCCCCTGGCTGTGGGAGATGCGAAATCCGTCAAGCACTCACACTGATGTGGGTGCCGGGGCGAGGACGGACTGAGCCCCCAGAACTGCTATGAAGGGGCACGATGGGCTATCTAGCCTGGATCGGGGTGGGGGGCCCGGAGGGGCCCTGGAGGAGGGCTGCCTGAGCGGATGTGAGGATGGGCATGGAATGACGAGGTGAAGGGTGAAGGAAGCCCCCGGCCGGGGGTGGGGGGGTGGGGGGGTGCAGCTGGGCACGGGAACGCAGGTGGCTTGTTTCGGAGCTGCCACCACCGGGAGCTCGGACTCCCCTTCCCAGCACGCCCGATGCCCCCTCCTTTCCCATGTCCAGGTACAATGACTTCCTGCACGACCCCCTGTCGCTTTGCAAAGCCTGCAACCCCCAGGCCAACGCAGAGAACGCCATCTCGGCCCGCTCTGACCTGAACCCAGCCAACGGCTCCTACCCTTTCCAGGCCCTGCACCAGCGCTCCCACGGGGGCATAGATGTAAAGGTGCTGCCCTGCCCGGGGCCTGGGGGGAGGGGTTGGGCTTGGACGCCGCCATCGCTGGTGGGGGTGGAGGGGAGGGCGATGAAGGCTGGGGTCAGGGCCCTCTGGATTGGGGCAGCTCTAAGCCCAGCCCGAGCTGGTGCTCAGTGACCTCTGCCCTGGCCCCCAGGTGACCAGCATGGCACTGGCCAGGGCCTTTCACATCATCGCCGTCAGTGGCCCTACGTGGGACCAGCTGCCTCCGTTCCAGTGGAGCTCCTCGCCCTTCAGCGGCCTGCTGCACATGGGCCAGCCTGACCTCTGGAAGTTCTCGCCCATTGAGGTCTGGTGGGACTGAGTCTCCTTCTCTGCCCTGCTGACCCCCAGCGGGGCCACCCTCCGGCCGCCGCCCTGACCTCCTGCCCACCCCCTCCGTGGGCTTCGTCCCCTGCTGTGCCCGGATCAGGGACCTGGGTCTGCCAGGTTCACTCTTGTCTGGGTCGTCTCTTGGGTGGGATGCGGGGCCCGATGGGGCCCAGAACTGACTCGTTCGCTCCCCTTAAGTGAGGGAGTGCCTCCCCTGTCCCCTGCCTCTTTGCATCTCTCTCTCTCTCCTCTCTCTCTACTCTGTCTGCTTCTCTCTTTCTCCTATGCTGGGGTCCTGTCCTCACATGTTGCCCCCTCTTGAGGGCTTGGGAGGGGTCCTCGGATGGGGTTTCGGGCCGCTGGTAGAGCAGGAGGGGACCGTTCCAGTTCCTGCCTCTCAATGTCATTCCTGCTGGTGGCTCTGGGACTTGTGGGGTTTTGGCCCCGGGACCTGGGCATTGCCTTTGGTTGGCATCGGGCCTTCTGTCTCCCAGCCCCAGCCGCTCTGCTCCCTCAGGAAGCAGCCCCCTTGTTTCCCCTTCTGGACAGCTTCCCTGAGGACAGAAACTTGAAAACAAACAAAAACCAAAGTTTCTGGTGACTTGTGGCTGGAGGGGCCTTCAGGGGCGGACAAGAGTGTCAGCCTCTCTGCTGCAGCCTCATGCCCCCTGCCCCCACTTTGGTCCCCCGCCCCTGGCCTCAGGACAGTGCCCACAGCTCCCCTGCTGTAAGAACCAAATTGCAGGCTGTGCTGCCATTAAAGGAGAGGCCGTGGCCCCTGTGCTGTGTTTTTTGGGATAGTGGGGAAGGCTGGGCTGGTGCCCTTTCTCCTCTTTGGTTTGGGTTCTACACCATCCACCCATGCATTCTCCTGTCCATTCTTCTGTCTACTCATCTGTCATTTATTCATCTGCTAACCCACCTACCCATTGTCCATCTGCACAGTCTTCCATCCATCCATCTACTCATCTGTCCATCCATCCACCCACACACCCAACCACCCATCCATTCACCTATCCCATCCATCCATCCACCCATCCATCCATCCATCCATCCACCCATCCAGCCAGCCATCCAGCCAGCCACCCTCATCCATTCACCCATCCATCTATCCACCCATTTATCCATCTCTCTACCCACCCAAAAACCCGTCCATTCACTTATCCATCCATCCGTCCATCCATCCATAGATCCATCCATTTTCTGTCTACCCATCTATTCATCTGTCATCCATCCATCAACCCATCTATCTATTCATTTATCTATATCCATCTGTCCGTCCATTCATCCATCTGTCCATCCACCCATCCAGATGTTCTTGAGCACCTACTTTGTTCTGGTTACTATCCCAGGGCCTTATTAACCAACAAGACTTTCCCAAGTTCCACTGTGGGATATAGGTCAACACAAAACAGAGTCTGTCACCATCTGATCTTCGCCAGCTGGTTGACCCCAGCCCTTCACGCCTCAGCTCTTATAGTGGACCGAGGGGTCTGCCTTGCCTTTTGGGCGGGGGGGGGGGGGGGGTTTGTGCTGATTCAAGTGGGACAGTCGAGGCTGGAAGTGATCTTCTGGGCAGGTTTTCTTGAACTGAGCACCACTCTATCCCCCAGAAAGAATTCTGGGGCCAAAGGGCTGATGGTTTGTTGTCCTTGCCAGCCTGCCCTTGATGTCCCATTCCCTATAAAATACATGTCTGTCCCTCCTGGCTGGAAATCAGTGGATGAGCCTGTGTCCAGGGTGGGTTTGGGGCGGGTTTTACACTCTCCCCTGAATCTCACAGCCCCTGCTGTTTGTTGGGGTGGGTAGGGGCTCTGCAGGCCCGTGTGGATCTGCGTCATGTCCTGAGGGGCTAGAGGGGTCTCAAGCTTCACTCTGAACTTGGAGATTCAGTGAATTGCCTGGGGCTGCTATGGGTGGTGTGGTGGTGTGGTGGTGTCCCCTCCCAGACCTCGAGGAGCCCTGACAGGCCGTCTTCTGTTTCCATATGCTGGCGTCAGCACATGCTCTCCTTAGAAGACAGGGTTTCATGTCTGAGAGGGTTTGCATGGCATTCACTTCAAGTCTTTTTCTTCTGAGTCCCTGACATGGGTGTCCAGTGTCAGTTTACACACCCCCAGAGATGGGAGGCTCACTACTCTGCTCCCAGTGGTTCTGAGATCAAGTCATTCTGATATCAGGAAGGATTTCCTGTCAGAATGAGGCCAGCCTCCTCTGCCTCTTGGGCTGGGGGTTGGTTCTGCCTCCATTGGAGGCAGCTCTTGCTTAGCTCCCTCCCTTCCTGCTTTCTGTCTCCCGGCATGCAAGTCCAGCTGGGAGCAGGGTCCGGCCCCCGTGTCCATGGGGTGCCAAGGTTCCAGGGGACAGGGTGCAGGGCTACAAGCAGGCAGGTGGGAGGAGGGGAGGGAGGGAGGCAGACGGTGGAGGCAGACGGTGATGAAGGAGAAACTCAAAGGATCTTCATTTCATAAATACATTTTTTTTTCTTTTTCAGTGAAAAAGCTGCAATGAGAAAAAATGACTGGGGGGTGGGCAGGGCCAGGCTGGGCTTCCTGGGGGAGAGGACAGGTGGTTCTCAGTCCTGGACCACGGTCCTGTGCGTCTTCCAGGGAGGAGGCCCATCCTGCTGTGATCCCTGTCCCTCCTGCCCACCCTCGCTGGGGACCTGGTATGGGACACACAGGTGGCCGTCACCAGCCACGGTGGCTAGGGACAGTCACAGAGCTGCACAGAGGCCCGAGAGGTTCAGTTCACGGCCTTGCTGGCTGCCGGCCCGGCTCCCCCTTGGAGCTGTGGCCCCTTGGCACAGTGGGCTCGTGGGACCGAGAAGGGAACTGACTGGTCCGGGCTGCAGGTTCCCAGGCAGACGCAAGGATAATACTTACAGTGGGGTGCTGGATAAAACTCCAGCTCCACCAGGGGTGCCCCTGGGAGGGAAGGCAGATGGGCGGGGAAGGGCCCTCACTTGGGCAGTCCGTTCTTCATGCCTAGCTGTTCCTTGAGGGCCCGCAGCTGGCCCAGACTAATGTTGCTGCCCCCACAGACAATGACCACGAGGGAGGACAGCGGGGCCCGGAGCTTGCCCTCTCCTTGCAGCTTCTGAACCACGTGGCTGTACACGGCGGCCAGGGCTGCCCCACAGGCAGGCTCCACCAGGATCTTCTCGTCATCTGCGGAGGAGGGGTGATGAGGGTGGGGCCCGGGTGCAGGGGCGCCGTTGGGCCATTGGGAAGGCCTGAGGGCCGTGAGCCACTCGGCTCTTGGCCCTGGCCACAGACTCAGGTCCCAGGCCAAACCTACCCTCACTACCCCAGCTTAACCTCCCAAGTCCTGATCCACGGCTAGGTTCCATTATGAGTGTGCGCACTGATAAAATGATTGTAACTGCCCGAGCCCTGTGTTGAGAAGGCTTGAATCATCATCTGAGCAAGACTGCCATGCTCGATGAGCCAAACTGAGCGCTAGTACAGGGGATTAAGTGGCAGTGTTAGAATTTACCTTGTGTGTGTGTGTGTGCGTGCGCACACGCGTGCATGTCATCCCTGTCCTAGGCTGAACCCAGGAGTCCAGCCTCCTTACAGACCCATTTCTGAAGCCGACCCTGTGGCCCATACTTTCCCTTTCCCCCTCGGCTACTAGGAAGCTCAGAATCCGCATTTCAAATACTTTGTTATTATTCCCTGCTGTCATGGTTGTCAGGCTTACTTCTTCACTTGTGGCTTTGGCCTTTCTCTTTTCACCGCTGCATTGTATTACCTTTCATTAATGGGAAGTTCTAGGACGGGATGGGAGGTAGGACTGTGAAGAAAATTTGCAGTGAATGGGATCTCTTAGGACACCACGTGGATGGCCAGTTAAGTCCTGAACCAGCAGGTCAGGTCTTGAAAGGACTCGGCACATACCCACAAACTTCTCAATGGCGGCCACAGCCTCCTGGTCCGAGATGACTTCAGAGAAGATGGGGTGCTCCTGAAACAGCTTCAGGGCCTGAGCCCCCACAGTCTTCACGCACAGGGCCTTGGCCACACTGGGGAGAAGGGGATGGAAAAGAGGATGGGAATGGGGGAAACAGGAAGGAGGCAGAGATCAGGATGAGGAGGGAGAGAAAGAGAAAGATGGATTTGAGAGGGAAGAGGGAAGTAGGGTCTGTGGGCAGGTGCCAAGCACTGAAAGGCCCCGGGGAATCCCCGACAGAGTGAGGTCTTCGAATAAGGCACAGAGACTTCACTGGGGGTAAAGAGCATATTGTGCTCAACACCAACTGAGCAACAAACACCAGAGAGGCCCCCTTGCGATTCCCGGAAAGGACTCTGCCTGCCCGGGTCTTGCCCTGTCCTTCAGGGCTCAGTGTTAAGGCCACCTCCTCCAAGGAGTCCTCCAGGGAGAGCACTCAGTCCTCCCCCGTGACACAGGCATAGTGACAATTTCTTGAGGAAGTATTAGGTGCCAAGGATTTTGCAAGCATTATTTAATTCTCTTTTCAATTATTTATTTAATTCTCTTTTTGCTGTTCGTTGGTTCGACTTTATGGGAGAGGAAACCAAGGCAGAGAGCGTGTGTGTCACTTGCCTGAAGTTACGTGCCTAGGGAGTGGTGGTGCGGCACCTCAAGCAGGGTCCTTGTAATTCCGGGCCCTGCACTCGTAATCAGTGCGTTCACTCCCCCTGCCTTCCGTGGAGTCTTCACTAGTTCTATTCCCAGCTCGCCCAGGAGCACCTGGGGCCTGAATCACCTTTGCCCTAAGCCCAGCATGTGGCTCACGGTAGGCACCCGACAATTATTTCCTCAGTCCCAACAGTGCAGGATCAGAGCCCAACATGGTGGTTCCTGAGAGCCAGGCTCAGGAATCCAGAATCCTGGACTCAGTCTTCCCTATCTGTGGTAGGGACTTGTCTACCCAATATCTGTTCTAGCTGCACAAGTGGACACCTGGTAGGAAGGCATTTCCCAGCCTCCCTTGCAGTAGCTGTGGCCATGTGACTTAAGTTCTGGCCAATGAGAGCTAAGTGGAAGTACTGCATCTGTCTTTAAAGGGAAGGGGCATCACTTCTGCCCTCCCTTTCTCCTCCTGCCAGATGGAGTGTGGGTGTGATAGTCTGTACTTAAGCAGCTATTTTGGGCCATAGGGCTACATGGTAAGGAGGATGGAGAACAAACTCAAGGAACCTGCACTCTGGCTTCATGGAGCCCTGGACTGACCTCTAGACCTGTTTTTATGTAAGAGAGGAAGTAAGGATCAGTCTGGTTTAAGTCACTGTTATTTGTGACTTCTGTATAATGCATCAAACCTAATCCTAATTACCATCTGTCAAAGGTTCGGGGCTGGGATATGAACGCCTTGGAAGCAGGGGCTGTGTTTATTCACCACTCTGCCCCAGGATTAGCGGTGCTTGCACATATTAGGGGCCCAGTAAATGGTTGGCAAATTAATGAGGTGTATAAAACCCCTGTCACAGGGCACTCAATAAATGCTTAGCATTGGACTCTACATGTGAGGAAGCATGACGTTCATGGTACTGAGTCATGCAGACTCGGGTTCAGTCCCAGCAGTACCACTCACTGGCTGTGTGACTCTGGGCAAGTAACCAGAGCCTCGGTTTCCTCATCTGTAAAATGGGACTGACATAGGGGATCTGCCTCACAGCCAGCCCCAAGCTGGGCTCCCCAACGGAGGCAGCCCCACTGCTCACCTGGTAACCTGGGGCAGGGAGACGAGCTTGCCAGCAGTGGTGGCAGCATGGAAGCTGTGGGCTCCGGCGGTCTCCATGGCGATGATGGGCACGTCCCCCCAGCCCACCTCCTGCAGCCCCTGGACCACTCCGCACAGCAGGCCCCCGCCACCCACAGACAGTGCAATGGCCCCTGGCTTTGCGCTCAGCGTCTCCTTCAGCTCCTTCACGATGGAAGTGTGGCCTTCCCTGGAGGGGGAGAGCGGGGGGGGGGGGCGCGCAGATCAGGGCTGGGCTCCCTGGAGACCCCACGCAGGGGTCCTGCCACTTGTCCTCATCCCCAGCAGCCGATGGGCTTTGGGCTAGTCGCCTCCTCCCCAACTCCACCCCGATTTCTAGCCGCCAGCATCAGCGTGTGGACCCAAGGGCTTCCTCTGGCCACTGGAGTTGCCTGCAAATGCGGCAGGGAGGACAGACAGCCCCGGAGAGTGGCCCTCGGCCAGGGTGGGGTCCCAGAATGGTGGCAGTTGGTGTATCCGCTCCCCAGCACGCTCTCCCGCAGCTGGATCACTCTGGTTTGAGTTCCATGCTGGCTCCCAGCCCCCCCACCCCATGGAGTAAGCTCCAGCTGCCCACCCCCACCGCGGTCGCCTGCCCACGAGAGCCCTTTATCGGCTCCCTTCTGGCCCTGGCTCCCTCCCCGCTTCTCGGATGCATCATCACCCAGGTAAACTGCTTTCCCCGAAATCTTTGACTCAGGTCGGCTTTCTGGGGACCTGGCGGCAGGTCCCTGTGCATCTGAGCTCACACGTTCTCTCCTGGCCGCGGGGAACGGGCACTGGCGCCCGTGTGAGTGCACCTGCTGTCGTGCCTGATGGCGTGCACACACACAGGCAACTGCTGCGCCCAGGGGTGTGATGACACGCACTGCGGCTGGTGCCCACCCAGGGGCGTAGTGGGTGGACGCCACCTGCACCAGGGGTCTCCGGGCTCCACATACCAGATGAGGGGGTCGTCAAAGGGAGGAATGTAGACCCAGCCTGGGTTGTTCTTTGCCAGGGCCTTGGCCAGCTCGAAGGCTTCGTCCAACATCTGCAAGGCCACGGAGGACGTCAGAGGGGTGAGGGGCCGGGGGACCCTGCCCTGCCACCAGGCGCCCTCTGCGTCCCCTGCCCTGGCTTGGTACTCACCTCACCCACCACCTTGACTATGGCGCCCTCATTCTTGAGCCGCTCAATGGTGAGGGCAGGGGTGGTGCTGGGCACAACGATGGTGGCAGGGATGCCCAGCTTCCTGGCGGCATAGGCGGCTGCCATGCCTGCGTTGCCCGCTGCCAGGGATGGGGGGTGGAGAGTGTGTCAGTGCAGGAGGGCCTGGGAGCCCAGCCGGGACCGCTACCCCCAACCTTGGGGCTCTGAACACCTCCCCGAGTGGCTGCTCCCCTCCCCTGGAATTCCAAATCCGGACTGCTGCAGATGTTTGTCCTGGCTTGTTATTAGGGAAACCAGGGCCCAGAGAGGTGGAGCGCCTGGCCCAGGGACACACAGCAGGGCATAGGAAGAGGCATGCAGGCCGCTTACCTGAGGAGCAGACGAAATGTTCACAGCCTTGCTCAGCCCACTGTGGAGACAAAGGGGGAGGGTGAGGCCCACCTCCCAGTCCTCCCCTGGGCTCTCCCCTCCCACCTGGAGTGCTTCCCAGTGATTCCGATATACCCCTGGCCCCTCCTTCCTTCACACAGACTTTGTGCCACCCTAGCTTCTCAGATGACATCGCCCCTCCCCAAAGAGACTGGCTCAGGGAAGGGCAGGGAGCAGGCAAATGATAGCTCTGGGATCAGTCCATGAGGAGACCCTCTTGGGTGGGCACCCCTTCGCTAGGCATTGTGGGAGTCAGCACACAACACTGGCCTTGCCCTGTTGAGGAAAAAGGACCACCCTCGCTCAGATGATATGGAGCCCATCCCGTACCATCTTGCAGAGGTGTCCAATGCCCCGGATCTTGAAGGAGCCTGACGGTTGGGCACTGTCCATCTTGAGGTAGACGCTGGTGCCTGCCACTTTGGACAGGGACATGCTGTCACGGATGGGGGTCTTGACGTGCAGGGGCTCTCCAGACGTCATTGCTGGGAGGAAGGAAGGACACCCAGATGGTCAGGAGAGCCGGCCGTGGTGCCAACCGCGGCCACATAGCCCTCAGCCTGCCTGCGAGTGACCCCTCCCCTCGCCTCCCACGAGCCCAGATGAGGAGCATCCTGGAGACCTGAATTCAAATCTCAACTGAGCCACCTACTCACCAGGTGACATCACGCAAGCAATCTCCCCTCAGCCTCAGCTGCCTCATCTGTAAAATGGGGACAAGGACCGCCCCCCCCCACAACATGCTGGGAAGTTGTGAGCATCAGAAAAAGCATTCAGACCTTGCACCTTTCAAGGGGCGTGAGATGGAGATGGATTTGCAGGTGCTGGTCAGAGTGAGCTTCCAGATGTTTCAGTACTAAAGAAGGGGGAGGACAGCAGGTATAGTCTATTTGTGCAAAAACACGGGGACGCACGCACACACACATAATCCATAAGCCTCTGTGTGCACAGAACATCTCAGGAAACACAAGAAACTCATGAAGGAGAGGGGCTTCTGGGGATAGCTGGCACTCATCATCCCCTTTGTGCTGTTTGAATGTTTTATTGTGAATAGGAATTATCTATTTAAATGCACGAATTTTTTTCCTACTAACCTTTGGAAAGCCCCATACCCAGTTAAGAGTAGACTTTTTATAATAATTATTATATTATGTAATGACCACTTCTAAAGTGATTACCATGTGCCATGCACTGTTTTAAGCTTTACAGACATTAATGCATTTAATCCTTTTAACAATCCTAGGATGTGTGTTATTAGTCCATTCTCCTGATGAGGAACAAGGCTCAGATTGTGTTTCCCAGAATGGCCATCCCACATGCATTTTTTATGATGTGACACTGATGCTTTTCTTTTCTTTTAAATTTTTTTTATTTATTCATGAAAGTCAGAGAGAGAGAGAGAGGCAGAGGCAGAGGGAGAGAAGCAGGCTCCCCGCCTAGCAGGGAGCCGATGTGGGACTCGATCCCAGGACCCCGGGATCATGACCTGAGCCGAAGGCAGACGCTTAACCATCTGAGCCACCCAGGCGCCCCGACACTGATGCTTTTCTCAGTGAGAGGTGGGGTCTGTGCTTCCTGCCCTTGGACCCTGGAGGAGGGGGTGGTCTGTGGCTTCAGGGGGAAGGGACACTCGGTGGCTTCCAAGCAGCGCAGCACGGGTGAATGTTTAACAATGGACTCTGCAAAGAAACATCAAGCCCTGATTTGCCGTGTGTGCACTTCTGTGCTGTACATAACCTTCACAAAAGCCACTTTCAAGCTACCAACACGATGTCACTGAGTGTGGAGCTGGGAAGAGATGGCACAGTCTGCTCTCCAGAGGCCGTGTGAGCCAGCTCACTCCAGCCCCGCTCCTGGCTCACTCCAGCCTGTGTGAGCCGGCTTACTCCAGCCCCCAGCTCCCCCTCCTATGGAAGGGGACACAGCCTCCGCCTGGCTGTCTCTCTTGGGCAGCTCCATCTCAAACCTCAGCTGCCTCGATGGGAGTAAGCCCAGGCCGCATGCAGAGGCCACATGTAGATGCCCTACCTGACGGCGGATGGCCAGTGTCACCTGCCAGACATGGGGGGTGACCTTGAGACGTTACCAGCCATCATCACACTGCAGCCATCTGAGAGACCCCAGTGAGAACTGCCTGCTGAGCCCAATTAAGCCCCAGAGCCCCGGCAGACAACAAAATGATTGCTGTTAGGTCACTACACCTTGGGGCAGTTTGTCACACAGCAGTGTGACTTGCCCAAGGACACACAGCCAGGGGGAGGCAGGATTTGAATTCAGACAGTCTAGCACGGGAGCTAGGGTCTCTCCAGGACCATGGGCGTGGCTCAGGCCTCCCCGTCTGGACCGACTCTGGGTGATCAAGAAGCTGATGTGTTCCAGAGTCTGGCCACATATGTGCAGCCCTTTTTTCTCCTCTTCTCCTGGATTCTCCCCAATTTGGGCTGAGCCAGAATTTGATCAGCTGGTGGTTGGGTGAGTAGCTTATCTGGTTCCCCCCACCCCGCCCCCCCGATCTTCCCCCATCCCAGAAGGCCAAGCAAGGCTGGCTCTCTCTCCCCACATCCCACCCCATTTCCAATGACACCACCTGAGACAGCCCTAACCCTCGGCCACCACCCCTCCCAGATTGGGCTAGATACGCCTGGATCAGAAGAGAAGTGAGGGATGGGGTTCCTGACCACCCCACCAGCCTTAGCACCCCCAAATAGGGTAGCTTATGTCTGTCTGAATGAACTAACATTCAGGGTCTGGGAGGGGGTGCTCTCCCCTAGATCTCTTGAACCAAAGCCAGGGACTAGAGGCACTCCATTACAGGAGCGTCCCCATATCTGTTTGAATTAATGTTAATTAGCCTCCTGGAGGTTATCCCTGAAACAATGGCACCCCATTCTGGCTGAGTGGACCTTGTGCACGTTGCCAAGCCCTGGCTTCAGGGAGCTTTCCTGGTTGGGAGTGGGAGGCATCCCCCACAAGACCCCTTTCGGGTAGATTTGGGAAGCCTCCTCCCCCTCCTGTGTCTGGTTGCAGCTTGGGATACCTTCAGGTGAGGGCAGGGACCCCCTATGGGCACCACTCCCTCCAGCACAACATCCTGAGGTTGTGCCAAACATGGAGGGGGGAGGGCTCTGGAAGCTGCTATCTGCCTTACATGTCCCCTCTCGGTCAGAACTCACTCTGCCCTCGCTTGCCTCATAGCACGAGCTCAATAAAAACGACCTATTATTATATCTGACTGAACATTTTAAGTGCATGATCTCATTTCACCTTTACAACAGCCTTACAAGGGAGGGTCTGTTATTATTCCCATTTTAGAGATGAGAAACCTGAGGCCCAGAGCTAGACGCTGACCCAGCCAGTCTGGCTTCAAAGCATGGGTTCCTATGCTCAACTGACTCTACCTCCTCCTCTTCCCCTGGAGGCCCCCTCCTCCCCATCCCTGGCCGCAGGCCCTCCAGACTGCGGTGGAGCTGAGGAGGGGGTACTTACCTGGCCAAGGTGGTGGAGCTGGGCGGCTGGGACAGAGGGAGCAAACCGGGAAGGGATAGACTGGAGATGCTATAGGTGGATAGACGGTAGAGTCCTCGGACAGATGGAGGGTAGATGGACAGGGTCGAATGTCTGCTGAATTGTCCCGAGGGCTACGGGTCTGCGGCTTTGGTCGGGGGCTTTATTCCCAGGGCGCCTCCGGGCAGCCAATGGGGACCCAGGGCTGGCCCCGCCCCCCGCCCGGCCCCGCCCCCTGGCCCGCTGCCCGGGGGCTTCCAGGAGGAGAGGGGGAAGCTGGCTGCCCTTTTGCTGGCGGCTTCCTCCCGGCTCTCCCCCATTCACCCCTCCCCTTCCCCATCCTCAGCTTCTTCACTGGCTAGTGGGAGCAATACCTGCTTCCCAAGGACTGTTCTCAGGGGCTTGCCGGAGGATGGCGTGAGACCGTGCGCTTCCTGTCACTAGCGTGTGCTTGGCACATCGTGAGCACCCAGGAAACAAACCACGGGAGGAAGTGGGTGCTCTTATTATCCTCATTTTACAGAAAGGGAGGCTGAGACCGAGAGAGCAAGAGAGATGAGCTGGCATTTGAACCCAGTCTGCCTGCCACAATGTGAATGACCTCTCCCCGTCATCCTTTACGACTCTTTTGTCTTGAAGGGGCAGATGGCTTTATGGGTATGACCCAGGCGGCTCAGCGTGACATTTACCAGCTGTGTGGCCCTGGGCAGGTCAGTTTGCCTCCTGGAGCCTCCCTTTGTTCATCTGTAAAATGGGGATGAAAATGGAGCGACCCTCCTCGGATGAGATGACTTAATAATGTATGTGTGTGTAAGGGGCCTGGAACTGAGTGTTCAGTTAAGTGTTAGCAGCCATCATCATCATCTTCATCATCACATGCACCTGAACTCACTCCCGCCGGGTGCCCGGCCTCCTGTCTGTCCCTGGCTGTGTGCAGGGGTCTGTATGTCCGCAGGGGTGGTGTGCCCAAACACGTCGGCCGGATCTTTTCCTGGTCCCCTCAACAAAGCTCTCTTGTCCGGCCGGCCAGGACGAGAATAGCCATGAGACAGAGGGCAGTGAGGGCACAAACAGCCCGCACGGCCGTCCCTCTCTGTGGGACTAGCTGACCTTCCGCGGGTGCTCCCAAGCCCCCTCCTCAGCGGGAAGTCCACGTGCATGCGCTGGAGGTAGAGGGGTCGGGGGCAGAACTGAAGCCACGTGGGCACCGTGAAGTTCCCATGTGGACACAGCTTCCCTGGGTGCATCTGAGTGTATACAGTCGGCACTCACATGGCCCGAGCCCCTGCTTGCGCCTGATCCCCTGCCAAGTGTTGCTACTTGGGGTTTCACTCAACTCTTGAGCGGGCATTTTGAGTCCCATGTTACAGGTAAAGGCTCAGGAATTCTGAGCCCTTTGCAGACACAGGGCTGATGAGAGGGTGCAGGTGGAGGCGGGGTGGGGGTGGGGCATCTGGCCCAGCTTGGTCACAGAGGACCCAGATGTAGGCTTTGGGTGTTATGTTCGGGTGAGGTTATCCACTTTGCCAGGGGGCTATCTCACGATGTCGGATTCGTCTCCTCTCCTGAGTGGCAACGCTATGACTGGGGAGGGCAGGGAGCAGCAAGGGGAAGAACAAGACGATTCTGTCCTTCCTAAGACCTCTGCATATTGTTCCATTTGTTTCAACAAGAATGCATCACTGTTGTGATTGGAAAACCACCACATTCAGAAAATCAATCACATAAGGACAGAAAAGAGGGATGTTGTTGACATCCTGTCTGAGCGTATCCTTTTTTTAAAAATAATAACTATTGAGATATAATTCACATACCATAGACTTCACCCATTTATGGAGTATCAGTTTTAGAACACTTCATCACCCCACAGAAACCCCATACCTATTCCCAGTTGCTCCCTTTTCCCCCTCCCTGCAGCCCCCAGTAATCACCAGTCTGCTTTCTGTCTCTGTGGATTCTCCTGTTCTGGACATTTCATA